TAGCTGTATAATATAGAAATTTCATCATGGTATAGTATTTGCCCGATATATTATACACTGTACCCACTCGATATCGCCATAATCTTTGAAGTTTTGAATATTTTTGTGACAATTCGCATGAGACTATAGTATTTTTGCCCGTTAGGTCAGCAAAGGCGCCCTATTTAGCATCATTCAGCTAGTAGGTACTTATATGTGTTATTCTTGAAACAATGGCATACGCTCGGTTTTGATGATTTCTAGGTGTTATACAGCCTATAGCTTGGGTGACATGTAGAGCCTCTTAACAGCGTATATGGAAGGGTGTTGTGTCGCATAGCATGGATGCCTTGTATCCCAGTCCAGTCAATCTCCACATCAACCAAGTTGGAACCACTTTCAGCTTGGCAGAACAGAACTGCTTGGGCCATATACTTCGGCACTGTACCAAACATTTCCATTGCATTGATTGAAATGTTGCATTGCATTGAAACCGGAACTCTCCTCACAAGACATCCCACTCAACTGGAGATCCAGCAAACAGCAGACCATTGGTCTATTTTGTTACGACAATATGAGGCCACGATCAAGCCACCTCAACCATACGATCCTTGTGGCAGTTTTGAAAGCTGCCTTGAAAACCGAAAATCGTGCCGAGTCTGCATTGCCATTCTGCCACCCGTTGATAAGGACTCTAGCGTGGATTTCGGAATGCTCAACTAGCCCGTTTCGGAAGATGGGAGGGAGGGAGGGAGGTCCAGAACATTTCGAAACTGACCAGCTGAGCGAAGCCGAACCGACAAAGCGTTACGGTTTAGATCCTCGCCGCACTAATCAGTACCATCTCGACCAACGCACACCAGGCCTCACCGCAAGGCTAGAATTTCGAATCTAATCGAGTAGAAGGTACATCAAGTGAAACTGCCCTTACAATAGCCAATAGGTTCTGGCTCTGGTTGCCTATGGAACTTCCACCCCCCTCTCCCACTTTAATCCCCAACCCAGCCTTTCACCAGAGACTCCATCGATTAAATATATACAATCTGTTAAAAAACGCTGTTACTGAAGAGTGTTTTGGAGGTGTGTAGTGTTCAGGTCAAACTAAGAGACGACCTTGTGTGATATGGACCTTCAGCTCGTCTTTTCTGGTCTGGTCCCCTCACCTCTGCCTTCCTTGCAATTCAAGCTCCAACGCGTTTCCGCGTCTGCCGCGTGACTTCAGTTGGTTACTGTGCAAATGCTTCCGTGTCGTGTTTTTTCACCCGACTTTTGCACAGAAAGCAGATCAAATGCCGCTTGGTGTATTGTTTGCATCACTTGGCGCAACTACGAGTTGCCTTCACAGCCAGGGGAATTGAACAAGACAAGCGGAATGTGTCAATTGGTTGCTCCCCTGCTCTACATAAACTCAATGGCAGGAAATGTTCACTCCAGACGCGACTCGTAATTTCCCGTACCGCGTCGCTCCCTCATTCCTGCTCGGAAGTGTCAGGCAGCAAAACACCAGATTCACATTTCCACCGTCCCTCCGGTCCTCCGGTAGTGTAGCAAATTTGGCAAGATTCATCTGTGCCCCATACCGCTCCCTCTTGATTTCATCAAAGGTTCATACGAGCAAGAACAGTAAAACACGGGCGAATCCGCGACCGCTTCCGCAAATCCCTTTCCCTCACCGACACGGTCCTACATCCAACACTTCCACCCTGTCAGCCAGCCTACTTCAAAGCTGGTTCGACATCTGCAAATCCAAATCGTGCTGCTTTGTCATGCTCTTCGATCGGAAGTGCTTCACGTACCTCTCTTCCTCGCTGACGAACTCTGTAGCATCACCTCGCTGCATTGCGCCTTCCTTCCGTAACACCAACTCTGAGGCGATTCCAAGCCATAATTCCAGCCTGTGCGTGTGGCCACTGGGCGGTACGACGAACTCAACCTCGTCATAGAGCTGGTTTACCAACTCTTCTCTCCGCCAAAAAAAACACTACCCCACGTCGCCCACCTGTCGTCAATCCCAGCAGCACTACTATCACCAGCTGACACATCCTCTCGCTCCCTCTCACCCCGGTCACTAACCGGCGCGCTTGTCACCGCGTGAATCGCAGCGCCGCCGCCGGCGCTCATACCCACAGCGATGGCCTTCTCATCCGTCGTCGTCTTCCTCCCAGACGATTCTTTGGAGCTCTTTGAGCAACCCGGGGATCTTACAGCCGCCTCCGTGCTGCGCCAATATCCTGCCCACCAGCTCCAGCTGCACGTCGGCGCGCGTCGCGCCCTCGTCCCCGCGGATAAGGTTCTCGAACCCGGCAGCACCTACCACGTCGTCCCCGTGAATAGCGCGGAAGCCGTGACGGTTGCGGGTGGGGCTCATGGTAGCGGCGGTGACGGTAAGGGGAGTCGACCGCGAACGCCGACGTTGGACTTTTCGACGAGGACGGTCGGCGGCGCCGCTAGAGGCGGCGGTAGTTGCGGCGCTGACTCGGATCGATGCGCGTTTCCGCCTTTACAGGACGGCAAGGGTGACGCAGTCGCGGGCTCCGCCGCTGCCGCCGGCGCGGCGAAGGCTGCTGGTGACGAGGAGGAGCAGGACGCGGTGCCGCCACTTCGCGCGAGTCGCGGCGGAAACTCCGCTGAAGACGACGCGCGCGCTGGGATGGCGGCGACGGCGGCGGCGATGATGCTGACTGGGCGCGCTGGCGGCGCGGGCATTCCGCAACGAGACGGGTTTCTGCGACTTATGGCGGAGGTGAGACGAGACGACATTTCTGCGACTCACTGGCGTGAGAAGAACAGCGTGCGACAGATTAGGATCGTTCAGATGGTATCTAGTCACGACGCGTTCTGTGGTACACGTCAAGACGTGACTAGTAGTAGAAAACACGTTCTTTAAGCTGAAAGAGAATCTCGAAGCCCGCTTCAGGTCGCCTGCGAAACTGTGCTGCACTTTGCGGGCTTTCCAGGGCCACGAAATCTTGATTTCCGAGAGTTTGAGGTGATACGATTGTCCAGACTCTGTCGCACTCTGTCCGAACACGCCATCCATGTCGCACGCACCATCCACATAGCACGCACGATCCGTGTCGCACGCACGATTCGTGCCGCATGCAGCTTGCACATCTCGGGCTCACTCTCCTGCCAACCTCTTCTCTCGTGCAAATCCCTTACCTATCCCTTCCCTGGCAGATTCACGACGGTTGTGACGGAGCCGCGGAGCTGGATCTAGGCCCGCCCGTCATTCGCTCCAACCGCAAATCGCGGAGCAACCAGGCGCCAGGAGATAGCAGCAGAGGCGGTAGAGAGGGGCCCGAATCCCACACAGGGGCTGACGGCGAAGAGGACAACGAGGAGGGGGAGGAGAGGCTAGGAGGTGATAGCCCACGCCGGCCTAGAATGTCGGAGGACTTTATATCGGTAGCGAACACATGCATGACGGATCCGGATATGTCCGGTGGGGAGAAGAAGCGCACGCTGGCTGCTGAGCTGGCGGACATGTCGACCACAATGACGAATGTGATGGTCCAGTCGCGCATGATGCGGGGAGGCGTGGTGTAGCTCGCACAGGATTAGGGTGGGAACTTGGAGGGCGAGCGCGCATGTATTAAGGAATGCAAGAAGCACAAGGAGTGAACTCCTGAACTGGTCTCTGCAGTTCTATACTTTTAACGTTAGGTCTGTAGGGTAACTCCAGTTTCGTTAGGTGCAGGTGTGTCCTTGGTTTATTACCGTACTTTCCTTTCTTGTCATTCCACAGAGTAACACATGCAGCTGAGCTGAGTGCGTGAAACTCCAGCCGGAGCATTGTAGGTTCAGCATTGTCTGGAAAATCATTTAGAAAGCTCTCTTCTTTTTGGTCCAGGTCTTTCCGGGATGCAGTTTTGAGACGTAAGGGCGTATCTCAGGGTTCAGGTCATGAGCACTTTTTTGTTTTTTGTTTTTTTTTTTTTTTTTGGTTTGAAGTACGGTATACATTAAGGAGGACAATGCATACAACAAAAGCAGTCGTAACTGAGCGTGAGGGCAGGTCCTGTGCACTGCCCAACGTGCTGCCTAGGGCGGAAAGAAAACCCTCCTTGGCTTGTTCCAAATCGCATCAAAACTGGCCGACCACTTCCATTTCTTGTCGCCAACTTCCCTGATCCTCCTCAGCATTTTCTGTTCAGCTTCAAACACCCCTCTGACCCTCTTGTGCTTCGCTGATGTGCCCGATTTCAAACATTTGGTGCCTGTTGCCCTCGTATACACCCGTGCATGCATCCGAAAAGCCGTTCCAATCCTCCTTAGCACCCGCCGGGCCCTGAACTTCTGCCCACGGAAACTGGCTTCACAGCGTTCCACCCACAGCTGGTGGAAGGTAATGGCAATTATCGTAGCTTCTGGAAAATCCGACACGTTGCCGGTTTCCTGGAATAGGAGATCTCCCAGCGAGGTGGGTGTCCGCCCAGGGTTAAGCATGCGCAAGGCCTGCTTGAGACCAGAAACCACTGGCTGAATCCGCGGGCAGCTGAAAAGGCAGTGCTCCTGGGACTCCGAAGCCCCGCAGTACGGGCACGTAGGTTTGCTGCTGAGAAAGTCCACTCTCTCCCCAACCTGCAGATTTAGGTTGTGTACCCGCGTGAGAACATCACGTGGACGGCTCGGGATGGCCAGCGAGTTGCGGGTGCGGATGACACGTCCCCAATCAATCTTCCCACTCCACTTTCCAGTCCACTTCCCCTGCTTAGCCAGGACCGCATCTGGCTTGGACCACAGCTCCCGAAGCTGCTTGAGCGGAGTTGGCTTTCCATCTGTGAAAACCGCCGAGCGGAAGACCGACGCCGCTGCATAACCACCCCCTTTGGATGCCGCTGCTTTTTCCTTACCCCCGTCAATCTCTTGCTCTGAGTCAGGAGTCAGTAGGGTTTTCCACTCAGCCGGGGCTGCTGCAAAGGCCTTGAGTGCCAGTCGAGCCGAGTCTCTGCATCGCAGTTCTTTCTCCAACGTGTCACTGTCTTTAACCTCCGCTTTCCCAGACTGAGAGGTGGTAACTAGATCACCCAGACGTGACTCCCACAGCCCCTTCGCTTTTTCTGTCCTCCGATCGGGTTCGATCCATTGAGAAGCAGCTTCCGGTTAAAAACGACCCTCTCCTTAGCAACCTCCTCCTTATTGCAGGATTTCCCGGTGTCAGCGATAGGCGACTTCATGAAAGCTGCACACGCCTGCTTCCATCGCGTGTCAACCCCTGGCCAGTGCTTCAGCAACCTTTCGTGTGCCAGGAAGGTGTCTTCTCCAAGTGGGAGGTTCGCGGCCTTAAGCATAATCTCCTTTTTTTTGCCGTTCTCCTCCAGCAACAGCCCCCCAATTCTCCGTGCCGCCAGGCAGGCAAGTAGGATCTCCGGGTCCAACACCCCCAATCCGCCGTCAGCTTTGGGCGAGGTGAGAAGTCCCCAGTTCCAAAGCACGAAACCTTTTTCCGGCGATGCGTTGTTCCCTGTGAGGAAGTTGTGAATCAGCTTCATCAACGGCTTCCATACGTCCTCGGGAGGTGGGTACACCTGCGCTTGATATGCAATTCTTGGCGTGATGTAGCCGTTGATTATGACCACTCTCGCCGCAATGGTGAGGAAAAGGGCCTTCCACTTAATCAGCTCCACTATGATTTTCTCGAAGGCTTTTTTCCAGGTGGGGCCGCTGCTGCCAGAGGGGGTGACCCAGACACCCAGGACTCGCTCCGTTTCCTCCGCTTTAGCCCACTTGAAACCGCCTATCGTGCCGGGCCGTCTCCCCAGGTTATGGCCAATCGGTAGGACGACCGATTTGTCCTTGTTCGTCTTCAACCCCGATAAACCGGCGAAGTACTCCAAGAGTTTTTCCGCCCTGGCGATTTGCCTCTTCCCCTCCAGAAACAAGGTCGTGTCATCGGCGTATCCGACATATACTAATCTCTGATTGGCCTTATTGCAGAGACCCAGCTTTCGTCGGACTGCCTCCTGAGCCAAAGGCTCCACCGCGCATAGAAAAAGGTATGGAGCAAGAGGACAACCTTGCCGGACACCCGATTTGACAGTCACCGCTTCACCCAACCAGCCGTTAATCAGTAGCCGCGTTTTTGTGTCCTTGTGCAGGCCCTCCACCCAACCGACAAATCTGTCCGGGAACCCCATCTCACGAAGGACCGAGAAGAGGAAGTCTCGCGACACCGAGTCAAAAGCTTTTCGGAAATCCACCAGCAACATGTACCAGTCCTCGTTTCCTCTTTTTGCAGCTTCAATGACATCCGCCACCACACCAATGGCGTCTGAGATTCTCCTTCCGGGGATGAAGCCGTATTGCTCCGCCGAGATAACCCTGTGCAAGAACGGCTTCATCCGATTCGCCACCACCCGCGCCAGAACCTTGTAAGTGAAGTTCAAAAGGGTGATTGGGCGATAGTTGTCCAGGTTATCTTTGTCGCCCTTTTTATGAAGCAGTATGGTGACAGCTTCTTTGATGCTTGCAGGAAGCGACGCTGTTTCGGAGAAGTTCTGCGCCATTTTCAAGAACTCGCCCCCAAGGACATCCCAGTTCTTCTCAAACAGCTCTTTCGGGAGCCCGTCTTTCCCAGGGGACTTCCCATTCGCCAGCGCTTTGAAGGCCTGCTGCACCTCTGCCTCCGACCAGTCCGCTTCCAGCGTTTGAGCCACCTCAGCATTCAGCGTCCTGCCTGGGAGAGGCTTCCAGCGCGCCGACGACGTCCGCCCATCCGCGCCAAAAGGTCCGTGAAATACTCTGTTGCTGCTTTCAAAATCTCTTTGGAGCCTGTGATTTTTGAGCTGCCGACTTTTAGTTCTTAGATTTGCGTCCGTTGCTTCCTGACTTTGATCCTTGCCGAGAGGAACGGAGAGGGGACCTCCCCAGCCAGCTCCGTGCTCGTGCCGGTCATCATATGAAGGCGGTCTCTCCTAGACGCATGGTATTCCCGCAGCTGCGTGTCCTTAACCGTCAGCAGATCCCTCGTCCTCTGGCAACTGGGGTACCGCATCTGCTCCTGGTGCAGCTGCGCCACAACCTCGGCAAGGTGAGTCGTGGTTTTCCTGACTCGCTTGTTCTCCTCCTTCATGTATAATCGCAGACCCGCGTTCAATCTCCCCAGCAGCAGCTCAAAGTCACCGTCACTGCCCGATGCCGCCTTGGCAAGGGAGGCTTCAACTGCCTTGCGAATCCGAGACCTTCCGATAGCTGCAGCATGCAGCCTCCAGATCCCAGGGCCCAGGTGAGTTGATGCTTTGATCTTGAAAGCGACCTTGATGCCGAAGCCATGGTCTGAGATGTATTCCTCAGGTCTTATGTGTGCAGCGATCTCCAGATGCGGAAGGAGCGAGCACGAAATAAGAGCGCGGTCAATGCGGGAGTGAGAAGATGAGAACGAGAATGAATGAACTATGAAACAGTTGGGTACAAGTACTAACCCTAATTCGGTTGTACCCCATATGGGCTACCCCACTACAGCCTACACAAAAGCACAAGCTATAATGTTCTGACACACCCCCATAGGCAAAGTGGGGGAGAACAAGCGGTCACAAGACCAGTCAAGCAAAGCAAAGCAAAGCAAGCTCAGGGTGGATCACAAAGTCACCACACATTCCGAGCACAAGATCAAGGCCACAAGGCCAGTTCACATGCATGAGTACATATATATAGAAAGCTAGACAAGCAAGAGCAGGTGTATATATATGGAACAGTACAAGCAAGGTCAAGAGGTGAGCAAGTGAGGCAAGACAGGCACAAGACCAAGCTGAGTACAGAAGCGCTGATGATCACAAGGCGCAAGTGCCTTGGTGAAAACATCAGCAGTGTTGGCCTCAAAGGCCACGTACGCAAGTCGCAACTGACCACGCTGCTGCAACTCACGAGCAAGAAAGTAGCGGAGAGCAATGTGCTTCGTTCTGTGCTCCAGGCGCTGCTCCCGACACAAGGCTAGCATGGCCTTGTTGTCTACGTACAGCACCGGAGGGGAACGAGGCGGCTCTCCGAGGTCAGTCAGCAGGTAGGTAAGCCAGCGAAGCTCCTGTGCAGCCATGGCCCCGGCGTAGATCTCAGCCTCACAACTGGAGCCGAGAACAGAAGACGAGCGAGTAGCCCGCCACGAAACAGAGCCTGAACCAAGGGTGAAGGTGTAACCCTGTGACGAACGCTGCGTAGCCTGGTCGTTTGCCCAAGAAGCGTCCGCGTGCCCAGTGAGGACCACTGGACTCCGCCCTCCAAGCACTAGCCTCATGCCCGACGTACTGCACAAGTAACGCAACACCCTCTTCGCTGCAGCCATGTGTTCTGGTCTGTGTCTCCCAGGAGCAACATAGCGTGCAAGAATGCTAAGAGGGTATGCAAGGTCAGGTCGTGTGCAGGTCATTAGGTACATGAGGCAGCCAACAAGCTCTGGGTACGGGCCACTCGACTCTACGGACTCATCTGAAGGCAGAGCTGAGAGCGAGTGGCGAGTAGACAGAGGAGTGGCCTGAGGCGAGGAGTACGTGAAGCCGAAGCGCTGAAGGACCTGCTGCACCATGTGTGACTGAGTCAGGGTAATGGTGCGGCGTGCTCTGTCCCGGGTGATCTGCAAGCCAAGGTAGCTGCGCAGTTCACCAAGGTCTGTGCACGTGTGTCTCTTCTGCAGCTTGGACTTCACGTGGGCGAGTCCAGCAGTGTCACCTGTGGCAAAGACCAAGTCGTCGACGTACACGAAGATGTAGAACGGCGGCAGAGAGGTGTCGGTGCGTAGAAACAGCGAAGGGTCAGCAGTAGAGGGAGCAAACCCAAGAGCCGCAAGTGTAGTCCTCAGTGTGTTGTGCCACTCGCGCGGTGCCTGGCGGAGACCGTAGACTGGCCGTCGGAGGCTCCACTGGGTGCCAGGAGGGAAAGTCCCAGTGAAGCCAGGTGGACGGCGCAATCAGATCTCCTCGTGCAGGCTACCCCGCAGGAAAGCACTGCTGAAGTCAAGGGAGTGAAGCTCGTAGTCACGCTGAGCTGCTACGTGTAGCAGCACCCGAAGAGTGGTCATCTTCGGGTTGGGAGAGAAGGTCTGAAAGTAGTCAACTCCCTGCCGCTCACTGAAGCCACGAGCCACGTACCGCGCCTTGAAGACAGGTGGAGAGCCCGGCGGCCGCTTCACCCTGAAGATCCACATGCCACTGACGATGTTCGCCCCAGGAGGGGGAACCGCGTCAACGTTGGTGCCTGTGGACTTCCAGGAAGCCATCTCTGCATCCATAGCTGCCTGCCACTGAGAGGAGTAGGGACCCTCTACGACCTCCGCGTAAGAGCGCGGAATCGGGATGTCTAGTGCATCCAGGTCTCCCTCAGGGGTAAGCAGTACGGACGCGAGATGAGGTGAAGCAGCAGCCAGACACTGGAACTCCTCCTGCCTGTCCTCAAGGACGTCCGTGCCAAGAGCACACTCACCCCTGACGGACGGAGGACAGACAGACGCAGACTCAGCAACAAGACTAGCAGCGTAGTCTAGACGACAGCGAGCAGCAAAGTCGACGAGCTCAGCAACAAGAGCAGACGCAGCAGTGGACTCAAAGGAGGGGTCAGTGACGACAGTAGCAAGGAGACGCGTGACAGTAGGACTGGCAGCACGAAGAGAGTCCGACTCAGGGTCGGCAAGCACAGGAAGAGAGGACTCAGGAGGAGAGGGCAAAGGGGCACGCAGAGGAGCAGTGGATGGACGTAGAGACATCCGGTGCGTGCCAGGGACAGGAGGAGGACGCTGACGCGAACTGCGACCACTAGTGCGAGCAGCACGAACAGGCGACGCAGGACGAGACGCAGGCTCACGACGCTCAGCAAGACCTCCAGTAGGACCAGTGTACGGAGAAGGAGAAGGTAGTGGAAAGACCGGTGGTAGCTGCGACTGCGACTGGACAGGCGGTGGACACTCTAAGGGAGGAGGAAGACCAAGAACGTGCTGAAGGAGCGGAACAAAGTACGGCCGAGGCCGCGCGGCGACTCCAGACACAGCAGGGACAGCACCAGTACCCTCAGTGGCAGCACCAGCGTCAACATCACCTCTAGCTCCAGTACCTCCAGCAGCACCAGTAGCACCCGCAGCAGGACCGCCGCTAGACTGACAGCAGTAGCCTCAGCGCAAACACCCTCAGCAGCTCCGACTCCAGTAGCACTCGCAGGACTAGCACCTCCGAGACCGGCGGCACAAGCACCCTCAGCAGCCGAAGAAGCACCAGCTCCAGTAGTACGCCTCCAGCGCCGGGCAAACCACTCGCGCAGCTCCTGTGGAGAGAGTGGCTCCCGTCGAGACGAAGCACCCGGAGAACCAGCAGGCCCAGCACTGCCAGACGCTACACGAGCAGGTCCAGCGGCCGCGGGCTCCGCACTCCCAGGCTCAGTAGCTCCAGACCCAGCACCCCAAGGCTCAGCAGCTCCAGACGCAGCACCCCCAGGCGAAGGACCCCCAGGCTCAGCACCCCCAGTCGTAGCACCCCCAGGCTCAGCACCCCCAGGCTCAGCATCCCAAGTCGCAGCATCCCCAGACGCAGCACCCCCTGGCTCAGCACCCACGCGCACAGCACCCCCAGAGTCAGCACCCCTAGGCTCAGCACTCGCAGGAGTACCAGAGTCACCAGCAACCTCGACCGGCTCAACTGCATCTACCTGGGACACACCCGAAGGGGCAGGACCCTGAGGGGGGAGGGGGTCTACCGGGGGGGGACTTGGCACAAGGAAGTGCGGTGGTGGGGGGAGGGAAGGAGTGCGGTAGGGGAAGAGGCGAAAGTAGGGTACTGACTCGTCGAACGTGACCTCCTGGGAGGACAGAACACGTCGAGAGGTGGGGTGGTAGAGCTGCCACCCTGGCGCGTCAGGGGGGAAGCCAAGGAAGACACAGGGAGCAGCACGAGGGGACAGCTTGTCCGCAGACAAGTCGCGGACAAACGCCCGAGATCCCCAGACACAGAACGCAGACGCATCGCCGACCTTCCCCGTCCACAGCAAGGCTGGGGAGGTCTCCGGTCTGGAGACCCTGGGGTGAAGGTTGATCTGATGCGCCGCGTACCGAACCGCAAACGGCCACAGAAAATGGGGGGCAGCCGCATGCATCATGGACGTACGAGAAACGTCCATGACCATGCCAATGCGGCGCTCAGCAATCCCATTTTGCTGTGGGGAGTCCGGAAGCGTAAAGGTATGGCGGATGCCTCGCGCACGACAGTAGGCTCGCAGAAGGCCAGAGGAGAACTCTCCGCCTCGGTCAGAGTGCAGACGCAGAACAGGAAAGTCCGAGCCGAAGCTCCTCCTGAGCTGGAGACGAGCTGCGCGGATCCAGTCGATCAACACCTCAGCGACATCACCCTTGCTGCGCAAGGGGAAGACTGTGGTGTAACGCGAGTAGTCGTCAACCACCAGCAGGAAGTAGCGCTCGTGACCCTATCCACGGACGCGGGCCGGGCCCCACACGTCCATGTGAAGCGTCTGCAGCGGGGCCTCTGTCGGGGGAAACTGAGAGGAGTGAGGGGCAGCTCGGAGCCGCCCCTCGACACAGGGGACACAGGAAGGACCAGGCCCCGGAGGAAGGGGAGGGAGGGACCGGGGAAGACCAGAGACAAGGACACGGGAAGCCATGCCTCGGAGACGAGGCAGGGAGGGGTGACCAAGACGGTGGTGCCAGAGGAGAGTCTCGTGAGACAGGAGGCGACACGAGCAGGGGGCAGACTCAGGACCAGACCTGGACGCTGCAGCAAACACCTGACCCGACGCAGCTACCTGACCAGACGCACTGACTGGAGGAGACTCAGTGGTCAGTGTGTACAGGCTCGACCCCGGCCGACGTGTAAACGTGGCCAGGTGTCGGCCTGTCCGAGCGTCCGTGCAGTGGGTCACCCGCTGACTCGCAAGAGTGAACTGGTGAACCCCCGTATCCTGCAGGTCAGCACCACTCACCAAGTTTGTAGAGAACGAGGGGAGGTAAAGACCAGACAAGGTGCCAGAGGGGGCAGCCGGACACGGGAGGACAGTGGAGAAGTGAGAGAGGACAGGACCCCCAGAGGGGTGTGCCAGGGAGACTGCAACTGGCCGACCAAGCGGCGTGAGTGTGGTGCGGTCTCG